TTTTTTTTTTTTTTTTTTTTTTACATGCTTTTATTAGCATGATTTATGGTTTTGTTTTTGCTTTTTTTCCTACTATTTTACACCATAAAAACTGCTGGATCAAGACATGCAGTGTTAGAAAGAGTCTGTAAGCCTTTTGGAATTACCAGGATTTGTCTGTGACTAATACAATTTAGTCTGATTTTTGTCTAATTCCCAAAACACCAGCTTGATGTTCCATAGCACCGTTTTAATATTGAAATAATCAACTTGTTCTCAACTTGAAGTCGTTTTACGAAAGTTGTCTTTTGCCCATAAGGCACCGTACACAGAGGGATTTCAGGAATATTTCAGAGATCTGCAAACACTGCAAACAGATCTGGGGGTGCCATTAGCATTAGTCCCATTTTTTTATTAGCTGTGGCTAACGTCCAGCTGGCACCTTAGTGTTTTGCTCTTGGTGCAGCTTTTTACTTTCCGCCACTCATTATTTGTAGAGAGACGACTGAACAGCTGTGTCGAACTTGACCACATTGGAATTGTGGTCAAGTTGCACATCTGTTCCATATGAAGCTTACTGCCCACTCCACTGAGACTATCCTACACTTCTTTTGCCTTATCTAAAATAATTTATTTCTTTGGCTGCCTTGGAGCAAAGCGGACCACAACCGAGTGAATATGTCAGTTGTGTTTATGTTCTCCTTTGTTAACATTTAAGACTTTCTTGAACTTGTACTGAGGATATGTACAGACTGGCTTTGGCGACAGTTATTTTAGATTACAATGTATAAATGTATACATTGTTTATTTGGAACTGATGAAACAATTAAGTTTCCCTTTTTGTTTTATGTTCTTCTGTAAAAGCTGAAGATTTTACTTTATTATATGTTATATATACCGGTGTTAGTTGTGTTGTTCTTCAGTATATTCATCATGTTCAAGTTCGGACAGTAAAATAAATAGTATTTGAAACAAAATCAACCTTAATCTTCACTTAGGAGCAAAAGTGAACCTTTAATCTTGACAGAAATTGTGATTTGATTTATAACATGCTAATATTTTTTCCATGTCGCTCAGCCATTCTAGTGGATGATTGTTACTAACTTGAAACAGTGATGAAGTTAGCAGATGAAGTTTGTATTGATTTTTGCTTTAACGATGCCATGCGTTGCTTATGGAAGATAAATGATGACAGTGTAGACTTAAACAGACATGCAGTGCATATTCCGGTGTTTGATTAATGGGGGTTTTACTAACAGGCCTCTGTTGCATGTGCAGCTAATAACATTAGCAGTGGCTGTTTTCTGGAACGGAACTGTTATTGAGATTTTTATTAATTACAGATGGGCTTTTCGTGACATGCAAAACAGACTCTGAACAAAAGCCTGTTTTATTTATGTTCAGAAAAAAGTCTGTGTTATAGTTTGCAGAGGAATGTTGCTCAAGTGTTATCGTAGGTAATAGATGTCCTTCTCAAGTGCACACAAGCCATTTTACACAAATAGCAGCTCATAAACACTAAAGTAACATTTGTACTGCACTGAGCTCGAGAGCATCTTATTACTGTGTAGAATAAAAAAACCTTTGGTAATAATGTTGCTGATACTGAATGAAGGTTGTCCGGCAGCTGTGGTTGGCTGCTTTTTGGTATAGTTTGGATCTACTTGCCCCAGTTGGAGCAGTGCTTCTCAAACCTTTTTCTGCTATGCCCCATTTCAGAAGACAAGTCCAGGCTCCACACCCCACATTTTATTTTTTAAAATTATTCCTCTTCCAAAGAGTTCTGCGTGATTAGCTTTAGTTTTAAACCATCTATAACCCAATAACACAATGTCCCCGTCAGTGGGCCACGAAGAGATCATTAAATGGTGCAAAAAAGGATGTACTGACATCTTACAAGAAGCTGTCCACCACCATCAGCAGAACACCAGAGGAGGGACTGTCTCGAGAATGAACAATGTCAGTAGAGTTCCAGAAATGTATAGAAATAATGTCAAGCTTTATTAAGCCTGTTCCATAAGCACATCTTGGTCCACCGCCTTACACTTTGTGTTTTTGTTTTTCATTTAATTTGTCATCCCTCTGTATTTTGCAGTGCTCATGGGAAATTTTAAAATCCAATCTCGGTGTGCAGTCACCTCAAACAAAAATGTACGGTACATTTAAAGGTAAAACCACAGCAGAAAGAAATGAAATGATAAAGGTCATAGCCTGACTCCCCTGCTCACTCACTATATGAAAACATGAAGGAATACACTTACATAATGTGTTTATGTTCTGGATCAAGTCCCTGGTGCAACATTTTATCATGCGATGCTCTTTAAATATTACTGTGCTGAGACTCAGAAAACTGACTGAGACATTTGAGCACAGAAATTGATATTATTATACAGAGTATTGTATCTGATGACCGGCAAGGTGTTCCTCAGAAGTCTCCTGCACCTAATGTAGCGTTGTTTATGATGGTCACCTTGATAAAGCTAGTGTCTGTGTAAACATGCTAGGATTGCATGACTAGATGCTTACATATGCACGTTCCTGGGTGTAAGCAGGCATGAAAAATATCTAAGTCTTTGTAAGATTGTGTGTGGAGAGGCCGTCTGGGTCTCTTATGACTCCTTCGTGATGCCTGTCACTTTGCATTAATCCTAACGTTGCCTCCGGTTTTCTGTGGCCAGAATCATCATGACTGCTTCAGCCGCAGGGATCTATGGCAACTTTGGCCAGGCCAACTACAGCGCTGCCAAGCTGGGCTTGCTGGGGCTGGCTAACACTTTGGCAATCGAGGGTCGCAAGTACAACATCCACTGCAATACGATTGCTCCTGTTGCTGGGTCACGGCTCACAGAAACAGTCATGCCTCCAGGTAAGAGTAAAAAACATATATAAACATATATATTGTATGCAGCTGGTCTATATGATGTAGGTTCACACACCCTTACAGATAATGTTTTTTTTTTTTTTTAATTTTATCTCATTGAACAAGCTGAAATGGACAAATGGGTTTTAACCAAAGCATTTTTGAGAGCAGTTGCATAATGTAATACCATGTAATGTGGATTTACAAAATTTGAGGCAACAGCACTCCCGTTCGACATGCAAATTTTTCATCTAATATTCAAGAGCAGTGTTTTCTTGCTTTTCCAAGGGCCATGATGAAATCATGCACCCTGTGAGTGCTTTAAAAGTTTTAATGTGTCAGCCCTTTATTTAAGCAGGCAGCTATGTCCTCCTTGCATTACTGTATGTGTTGTCTTCCAGTATTAAGAGAAAAAGTAAGCTAATAAATCATTTATAGTTTTTGTGTTGAACACATTTTAGAAAGGGGGCATACAGCATTGAATGCCTACAATTAAGATTAAGCAACTAAGATATAGAATTGGCAAACTTATCTTGTGTATTAATATAACACAAAACAAAAAAACATCACCCTTAAGAATAACTGGGACTGGGAATGTTTTTCCAACCCCTGACTCAGTATTTGTAAAAATCTGAACGTCACAGTTACACTGAGGATGCTCTGTGACTGCAGCTCTGGAATAAGAAGTATTAAGTGAATTAAGGGAAAGGTTTTGTTGCCCTGCCGTGCCAGCCTACGGTAGCATCTGTCGCACACTGCGTTGTGCCAACTGTCACAGGGGCCTCACCTTAGTAAATGACTTGGTTCCATATGTTTGCTTTAACTCACTGACACTTTTCTAAAAAAATTAATGACAAAACCCATCTTGCTAAGCAGCAGCGAGTTCAGTGAAGCAGAAGGGCTTCTTTTTACCACTAGGGTACAGATATTTTCAGCACACACAAGGGATATTAAAAAAAAAGTTTAAGCTTGTGCCATATTTTCTTTTTTCAGTTAATTCCAGCATGTTTAAGAAATATTTCGCTAACAGATTGCTAGTACTAGGACTGATACTGACCTGGTCTCATGAATTCAAGCATTCTGTTTGTTTCTTCATGTGAAGCCAGTTCATGTTTTTGCCATCTGTCTTGCAGAAGATTATAAGTTAAATGCAAAAACAAACAATATGTAGTATTGTACTCCATGTATAAATGAACCAAATGCAACATATTTTAAAAATCAAGACCTTCTTTGCCCTTTATTACAGATGTAAACCAGATGTTTTGTTTTATGTAGATCTTGTGGCATCTCTGAAGCCTGAGTATGTTGCTCCTTTGGTCCTCTGGCTCTGTCATGAACAATGCCAGGAGAATGGAGGACTGTTTGAGGTACTGAAACTGTCACTATACTCCTTGTAGCTTTGTTTCATCTTGGAGAAAAAATAATGTACAATAGCATATTATTTTTCTATAGAGAGGCAATATTTCTTAATCTCCATGTGCATTTGCTGTTCTCTTCATGTTTGACTCCCTTTAGGTTGGTGCAGGGTGGATTGGTAAATGTGAGTACTGTGTGTTTCGTCCAGAGGAAATGTCTGTATGCATTTGCCATATTCATTAGTCCCAAAGACTGCTGCTACAGTATGTGTGGGGTTTATACTGTGCCATGACCCCTGTATTTGTGTGTGTGTAGTGCGCTGGGAGCGTACTCAGGGCTATATAGTGAGACAGAGGAACCAATCCATGAAACCCGAGTCCATCAGGGACCACTGGGAAAAAATATGTGACTTCACAGATGCCACCAAACCTGCTAATATACAAGGTCAGTGATGCACCAGGCCAAATACACACTTACGCAATTGGTAACCTACAGAAAAATGTATAAGTGTATCGTCACACTTGAGGACAATATACACACACACGACTTCAAGTCCGTCCTCATGGGTTTTAGCTGTATTTTTTACTATATTAAAATATGTTTAATACAGTTTAATCATAAAAGCAGATTGTTCATAATGACTAATACATGGCTCACAGAAACGGTCATGCCTTCAGGTAGGAGTAAAAAACATATATTGCATGCAGCTGATCTATATGAGGTGGGTCCTCACACTATTACAGATACTATTTTTTTTTTCTTTTATCTTATTGGACACACTTGAGGACAATATACACACACATGACATGACAAAATATGGGCTCAGAGAGAAAAGAATGAATAAAGACACTCTGAATAGGCAGTCTTTTTCCCCCTTTCACTCATAGTGGAGTAAAACTTAGTAATTCAGCCTAAACAGGCAAAGATGAGCTAAATTGAATTAAAATGAATGCTGTTGAGATGCTTGTCATTTGGATTTCGGATGTGATTTAATTGTTTTCCGCTGAACTTGTTGTCTGTGTCCAGACTGGACATTAAAATTACCATCATTACCTGAGGCCTCAGTCAGATAGTTTTATTGATCTTGCAGCGAGCAACTGGCAACCACTGCACTGGCGAGTAATCTGTACTCCCCAACTGGTTGTGAGTTTGCTGGCAGTTGCTAGCATGACACTGGTTGCAAAGAGGCTGCACTGAAACCTCCTTGTGATTGCTTTGGGTGCTAAGAGGGAATCATTAGTTTGCATGGAAGATGCCAACTTGTCTTGCAAACTAATTACTAAGCAGTAATGAAACTGTGAGAAATGCAGTGCAATTCAGAAACATAAAAATGTTTACCAGTCTGGATGGGCAAGATACTCATGGCTGTGAATGGGTAAATGAGACATGTGGTACAGGTCGGACTTAAACCTGCGCTACCGCACTTTAACCATATGCTTGTCTGCTCCCCGCTGAGCTCAAGTGCCTCCCAGAAAGTTTTTAAGTTAAACAAATATTACACTCTGAAGTGATCGGGTTGTCTAAACATCGACTCACAGCACTGCAAGCCACTGTGGCATGTGCTTTCTCTGAGCAGATAGTCGTCACAGATGTGCTCTAGTGTAACGTTTCACCAAGACTGCAAGCACAGCTTTTGACAGTTTCACATGTGAATTACTTCATGTTACTGAAGCTCAGTGGTCTTACCCTTCAAAGTAATTGACAACCATCATTGTTAAAAGATGTAAGCTTTTATGAAAATGTAAAACACGGTCTTTAAGAATTGATTTATTGCCTTTAGTCTTGAATGGTCATTCACTATGAGCTGAATCATTTCTCTTCAAAGCAGTAACCACGCAACACAGACCAGAGATTAGACTATTTTCACAGCGGCTTTCCTTATTAGTGCCTGGATCACACTTTCACACTTGTTTGACTCACTCTTTGTTGAGTCAGAATTATTCAGATTTCAGATCATTACATAGCTACATAATTTGCCCTTTGGTTTTGGAGTAGTAGTGGGCTAACTCTGTGCTACTCTAAAGAAATTCATGTCTTTCATGTTTTAGTAGCACGGCCTTAGTAAATGTCTAGATATACACAACCTTTTTTCATTGTCATTGACAATTGACATTGTCATTTTCCACAATATTGGTTTATACCCAAATAAATCTGCAGTTTTGTTGCAACATTTTGATGTGATATTGGTTGATTGTTAGAAGAGAGGGAAATAAAAAAAGCTGTGTTTTGAGACCTGTCTTTTAATTAAAGTTATGATTAGCCTCTTTTGAGTGGAACCACTTTTGAAGAGCTCAATGAAAGGAAAAATAAAATCGCCTGGCTTGTTAGCCCTCATGTAGTCATGCTGTCAGGCTCGGCACTTATGAGGGTGATAACCTTCTGAAATCATCTGTATTTACAGTGAGTTAGGTAACAATCAAAGACTGAGGAGCAGATGGTGGTGGAGATTGATGTGAATGAGGTGGAGAAAAGAAGCCAAGTTCAATATGATGTTGAGTGTGAACGAGTGCAGTATTGTTCAGAAAAGAGCTCCAGCAAACAAGAGGCTGGCGATTGTTGATTATTATTTCTCTCCACCTCCTCCACCACCTTATCCTTCCTTTCATATCCACATTCAAAGAGAGGTTGGTGGTGTTAACATTAACAGAATGGGGGGTGGCAGTCCCACAGGGCACTAGCTGGTCTCATTAGCATGGCTTTGTAGTACCACCTCATTTGTATCTTATTTGTTGCTACCTCTGTTTGGTAAGTGCCTGCCGCTGAGTGACGGTAATAGGATCTCTGGTCTTCTCAGTCTTACCCTGGTCCCGGTCCGTGCACGTTTCAGCTATTTTCCTTTGTTCATGCAGCAACAGGTTGAATCAGCATATATATTTAAAGAGTTGTGTCGCCTTTGTTGTTTACACTTTTTGGGTGTTCTTAAAACAACCTGAGAACCCACAGGACTCGTGCAAACAACTGTGTGAATAGAGAAATGTTTATTCTGCAGGTACATAAGGGCTCGCATGTATTTCCATTTTAAAGCTGCTTCTGGATCAGTATGTTTTAGACTGAAATTCATTTATTCAGCATTTGTATAGTTTCACTGAAACATGAACCCCAGGGTTGTTGTTCTATAGCTGGGTTAAAAAAAAAAAATCAGTCTTTGCAGTTTCCTAACTGTGAAACCAGAATGAGCGACTACACATAAGAGACCTTTGAAAGAATATTTCGAAATTCAAAGACCTCAGAGTGAGGTTTGAAAAACGCAACCAAATTCCTGTTTTGCAGCCTTTTAACAGTTAAACAATAAATGCTAAAGAGCTGAACATACTACCACATGCCCATGCTGCTGTATTATTTCATCTGCTCATACGGATATTTAATTACACGTAGAAAATGTAATTACAGTAATTGTAGGTCTCCTGCAATGCTCAGGTCCTGCTCAATTATATAAATGTTGTTGTAGTCTCTTTGGTTGTTGCTAGGCGACGTGATCACATAGTATGTCATGCATAATTCAACCTTTTGTAGATATAGATTAATGTTATTGTCATGCCATTACAATGATACAATGGTTTTATAAAGTATTATAGTTGCATAAACAGTAGAAAACTGGTCATTTTAGCTCATTGGTAGGGTGTATACTGATTATGTCATAATATACAAACCTCCAGGGGACTAAGATGTTCCTTTAGGCTTATAGAGGGAGACTTTTTGCATTATATTAAGAAAGATATAATGTTTATTTAGAGTCAATATGACCTGGAAGAAGGTGACTTTATTTCCATTCATTTAATATATGCTAAAAATATTTTTTTAGAGCTGTTAAGTTGTGTCTTGCATCGCTTTGATGGCTGGCTGTTGTTGTCTTGGTAACCTTTTAATACTACTTACTACCAGCTCATATGATCACCAATGAGTGATACTGTGCTCTCATTGGTGGACAGTTCAATTGCTACCCTGGATGTTGATCAAATTTTTTTTGCGTTCTGCCCACTTTGTGTTTGACTGTGATTTAGATTGTTTGACTTGAAGTTGCCAGATGTCATTCATTTTCTCTGGTCTCTGGTCAGCCGCCACTTTGCTGTAAATCTTTTCCAGTGTGGATGCGATGCATCTGTAGCGCAAACATTAACCTTATTCCTGCAGATGTGTTGCTGTAATTTAGATTATCTGGCTGATTGCTTCCCTCAAATGAACCCCAAAAATGATCAAACTGTGATCATTTTGTCTTTCTTTCATTTTTCTCTCTTTTTTGAACAAATTTTGCATCTCTAAGGAGCTGTTATCATGATTTTAGATTGAAAACACCCATATTTTCATTGGTCATTATTTAACATTGATTACAGTTTAACCGTTTAATTTCTGCAATACAGATTTTTTTTTTTCTGTTAATGGTTTGTCTTATATTGAATTAGTGAAACTTGAATAGATGCAATTTGTTTATAACTATTTGGTTTAAAAAAACATCATTATATTTGGCTGTATACACAAACTATATATATATATATAGTTTATGTGGAGCAAATTCTAATATGTAATAAATGTGAAATGGCTTGCAGTACCTAGAT